CCTCCTCCTCCTCCGCCTCCTCCTCCTCCTCCTCCTCCTCCTCCTCCTCCACTGGTTCTGCCCGTGGGGGCTTCCTCCTCTGTCGCCGGGCCCCTCGTCTGCTGCAGCGGGAGGCGGCAGAGCTGCGCTGGGGCGTGTCGGCGCTGTTTTGACACAGCCTCCGGGGGCATCGTGCGAGGACGAGTGGCATTCGGCAGGCGCCTGGAGATGTTGGAGCTGCTGTTGGGCGCTCAGTTTTTTCCTTCTCGGAGCGCGAAGCTGGCGTAATTTATAGGAGGATCTCGCCTCGGGTTCGCGAATCTGGCGTGGATTGTACAGCAGTTTGGCCTCGGGAGCGCGAATCTGACGCAACGTAAAACAAACATGTTTGTTTCGGCAGCGCGAACTCGGAGTAATTTGCAAGGGACTTTGATTTCGGAAGGGCGAGCCGATCTTAATTTGCAAAGGATTTTGATGTCGTGAGCGCGAATTTGGCGTAGCTTTCGACTGAGTCTGGGTTCGGGAGCGCGAATCTGGCGTGATCTGACTAAGAATTCGGATTTCGGGAGCGCGATTCTGATGTAATTTACGGAGGGTTCTGACCTCAGGAGGAGCCGTCTTGCCATTCCGAAGCTCGAAGCTCGAAACGGCTCGAACCACACGGGGCTCGTGCAGCCGAGGTGCCATGTCGCTCTGGATGCATATCTCTGGATGTTAGACATCGGCCAAGGGTCTCGAACAGGCGTTGTTTTCCCGAAGTGTCGGCGAAACAGTGCGGTCGGACAGAGCAGTGGAGTGCACCATTGCAGTTGCTCCGCGTGGGGGAATTCAGTTTGGTGTGCGGATCGTCCTGGGCCACTGCGTTGCCACTGTCAGCGCGCGCTGGAAAGGTGGGCGATTGCAGCAGGACGTGTCCGCGTTCAGCGAGATGCGGGAGGCGAAGGTGGAACCCGAAGCCATCAGTCTTCTCAAATGCCGGGCGCACCGCGGGCGGGAAGGCCGCGTGCTCAATCAATTTGAAATCGGCCTGGCTCGCCCCGGCGCGCCCGTAGGCCACCGTGGGGCGCTCCAACGCGGCCCGAGAGGCGAGGTCCCAAGACGGCCCCAAACCGAGACGCTTCCAGACGGTCCAATAGGTCGCGAATTCGGCCTTCCGACGGCCTGGCACGGCCCCAAAGCGGCCCAGTAGGGCTCCAAGAGGCCCTATGAGGGCGCTCCGTAACCATTTTGGCTCAGCCACTGACGCTTGAGCCCCTTGAGCGTTCACTTAACTGAGTTATTTGTGCGTGCGACTGTGACACAGACGCGCTTCAGCGCCCTGTCAGCATTATGCTACGGGTTGTTTTCAGGATTGCTGCATCCACGGCATTCAATGTGATACTCCCAGCATTGGCTGCATCTTGCAGTTCACAGGCAGAAGTACTGGTAGGGCAGTGGACAGTCGTGACGAGCCAGTCAAAACCCGACTGCAGCCAGACTTATACTGTTGGCGACAATTCGAACACCTACGTCCTCATCAATTGCTCTGAGGCGGCCACTTTCAACACACAGCTTCTCAGCGCAACCTGTGAGCCAGGAGTCTCTGGAGGGTTTTCTGGCATGTTCTCAGAGGAGGACGACGGTGGCGGCACCTGGGACACCACGTACATCTATTGCAACTACTGGCAGAGGAGCTCCAGCACCTCAAACCTAGTGTGGGAGTGGTTCTGGACCACTGATCAGATTGCGGGGTGCCCGTCCACGCTGGCAGAGGCTAGAGCGAAACCTCTGAACGGTGACCTGTGGTACGCTGGTTCAAACATGTCCGGGACCCCGACGAGCACCTGGGCGTGTGTTGGAAGTTGCCCGACGTTTTCATGTGGTTGTGATGAAGATGTGATTCCAGCGCCCGCAGCCGCTTCGTGCAGTTCTCAGGCAAAGGCGCTGGTAGGACAGTGGACAGTCGTGACTGACCAGCAAAACCCCGACTGTGATCAAATCGAGTCTATTGGCAGCAATTCGAACACCTACGTCGACAGCACTTGCTCTGAGGCGGCCACTTTCAACACACAACTTCTGAGCGCAACCTGTGGGCCGGGGGCTTTTGGAGGGCTTTATGGCATGTTCTCAGAGGAGGACGACGGTGGTGGCACCTGGGACACCACGTACATCTATTGCAACTACTGGCAGAGGAGTTCCAGCACCTCAAACCTGGTGTGGGAGTGGTTCTGGACCACCGATCAGGCTGCGGGATGCCCGTCCACGCTGGCAGAGGCTCGGGCGAAACCTCTGAACGGTGACCTGTGGTACGTTGGTTCAGACATGTCCGGGACCCCGACGAGCACCTGGGCGTGTGTTGGAAGTTGCCCGACGTTGTCATGTGGTTGTGATGAAGATGTGATTCCAGCGCCCGCAGCCGATTCGTGCAGTTCTCAGGCAGAGGCGCTGGTAGGACAGTGGACAGTCGTGACGAGCCAGTCAAAACCCGACTGCAGCCAGACTTATACTGTTGGCGGCAATTCGAACACCTACGTCCTCATCAATTGCTCTGAGGCGGCCACTTTCAACACACGACTTCTGAGCGCAACCTGTGGGCCGGGGGCTTTTGGAGGGCTTTATGGCATGTTCTCAGAGGAGGACGACGGTGGCGGCACCTGGGACACCACGTACATCTATTGCAACTACTGGCAGAGGAGCTCCAGCACCTCAAACCTGGTGTGGGAGTGGTTCTGGACCACCGATCAGACTGCGGGATGCCCGTCCACGCTGGCAGAGGCTCGGGCGAAACCTCTGAACGGTGACCTGTGGTACGCTGGTTCAGACATGTCCGGGACCCCGACGAGCACCTGGGCGTGTGTTGGAAGTTGCCCGACGTTGTCATGCGGTTGTAGTGGCGAGGTTAGCAAAGCCTATTCCACGGCTGGACCTTTCTGTCCTGGCTCATCTTACGGAATTCATGGTCTGGTTTTGTTGGCCTTTTCTGCTTTTTTGTCCTAGGGGCACATCCATGTCGGAACAGCAATGACTGGCAGACACTGGTAATGCGTTGCTTCAGCAACCCGCAGTCCTTAGAGTAATTGTCTACGCTCGAAGTTGCCTACGCAGTTAACCACCCCTTTCTTTCGGCCTGCGTTCATTCTCTGCGACTTACGCTGCAAATGGGAAGAAGAGAGGCCCTGTGAGGGCGCTCCAAGACGTCCCAATTCATGTGTGTCTTCTTCGGTTGTCGAAAGATGTAAACGCGTCGCCTTTTCGGGCTTCGACGCTCCAAGACGGTGGCGATCCGGATAATCAGGCTGGAGAGGTCCAATTCGGAAGTCGAATTCGGAAGTCGGAAACCTGGATTCGGATATCCGGGTTCCGGGTTCTGGGTTCCGGGTTCCAGGTTCCGGATTGGACCTCCGAGTTCGGATATCCGGATTCTGGGTTCCGGGTTCCAGGTTCCGGATTGGACCTCCAAGTTCGGATATCCGGATTCCAGGTTCCGGGTTCCGAGTTCGAGGTTTCGGATTTGACCTCCGAATTCGGATATCCGGTTTCCAGGTTTCCGGGTTCCAGGTTCCGGATTGGACCTCCGAATTCGGATAGTTATCCGGATTCGGAGTTCGGGGTTCAAGCTGCCGGATTGGACCTCCGAGTTCGGATATCCGGCTTCTGGGTTCTTGGTTCCGGGTTCCAGGTTCCGGATTGGACCTCCGAATTCGGATGTGCGCGGATCCGTGGTTCTGGGTTCCGGATTCCAGGTTTTGGGTTGGGCTTCCGAATTCGGATATCCGGATTCCGGGTTCCGGGTTTTGGGTTCCAAGTTCTGGGTTGGTCTTCCGAATTCGGATATGCAGATTCGGGGTTCTGGGTTCCGGATTCCAGGTTCCAGATTGGACCTTCGGATTCGGATATCAGGATTCGGGTTTCCAGGTTCTGCATGGGTTCGAGGTTCTGGATTAGTGTTCGGATATTCGGATTCCAGGTTCTGGGTTCGGGGTCCAGGTTTCGGATTGGACCCCCGAGTTCGGATTCGGATATGCGGATTCATGCTTCTGGGTTCTGGGTTCCGGGTTCTAGTACATGGAGGCATCCTCGAAAAATGATTTGTTCGCAACATTTTCTCAGTTTTGGGTGCCAAGGACAAATCAAGAGGACCCCAACACGGCTCAAGATGCACCGAAGTTTGCCCAATACGTGTTCAAAGCAGCTGTCTAAGACGGCTCAATATAGCTCTTCCTTTTTCCCGGAAAGGGCTCGGGCCCAGGGTTCTCTTTTACTTGGTTTATTCCCCCCCAGAAGAGGACCGGCAGATTTCCGCTCGAGAAAGACACGAGGTAAAGTCCAATTCGGCGTGAACAAATACGTTTCGCGCGTGCCCGCTCCCCCCACCTAAGATCCTCGATAAATCACGGGGTCCGCCCGAATAATCCCTTCCCAGGAAGCCCCAAGAGACTCCCCAGAAGCCCCAAGAGGCCACCAGGGGTCCCCGAGAGGCCGACAACCGGCCCCGAGAGGCTTCGAAGCGGCTTCCAAGAGGCAGGATGTGCCGCAGGCCCCTAGATGATTTGAGCGGCCAGGGGGAGGCCCCCGGAGGGACCAGGAGGGGGTCCGTCGGATGACGATGATCAGAACATCACCTGACTGCGCCATTTTCCTGCTCTTCCTCTTCCCCTCGTTGCCTGCTCCTCCTCGTCTTCTTCGGTCTTTCACAGGTTTCCCGCCCAGTTTTTTTCAAGGTACGCGGTGATCGGTGGCCGACGACGACGACGGAACGCCCCAACATAGGCGACGACGACGACGGAACGCCCCAAGCAGGCCCCCCCAAGACATTCCCATCGGGCTCCCAACATGGCCCCTCAAGAGGCGACGACGACGACGACGGACCGGCCCAAGCAGCCCCAAAAAGAAATTCCCAAAGATCATGCTCTCAGAAGTCCTTGTGGGAACATGATTCATCAGGCCCCAGGCATGGCCGACGCCAATGCAGCCCTCCAAGATTGGAGTACACCCCAAAATCATGTTCCTAGAAGGCCTGCCAGGAACATGATACATCAGGCCCCCAACATGGCTCCCAAGAGGCTATGATGAAGACGGAGCGCCCCACGCAGTCCTCCAAGACACTTCCAACATTCATTTTGCCAACAAGCCTTCCAGGGACATCATTCCTTGCGCCTTCGAAAGGCCTCCCCAATAGGCGACGACAACGACGACGACGACGGAACGCCGCAAGCAGCCTCCAAGACATTCCCACCGTTCTGGTTCCGAAAAGGGCTTCTGGGACTTGGATTCATGAGGCCCTCCCCACGGGCGACGACGACGACGGAACGTTTTCGGCCGTTCTCAGGCTTCACAATCTCATAGGTCTTCTGGAGCGAACACACAGCTCAGGATAATAAAACCGGATAGAGCTGATCCCGGGGAAGAGGTTCGCAAATCGAGGGCCGCCGTTGGGAAAAAGTCGCGACGTCGGGGGTGGTGGGGGGAGGGTAGGGAAAGTGGCGGAGGTGATTCAGTATCGGCTAACCGACCCCAACCCCCATTGAGCCTCCTACTAACCTACCCTTCCCCCCGCCGCCGAGGTAAAGATTTACCCTCTGAAACCCGAGGGAGACGGCATACATCCCACCGTGTGGGGGGGTACATCGCTCAATGGGACGAGGGCCACGCAGTGGGGATAAGGGTCGGTCAAACGATATCCAGTTATGAAACCAGCTGCGCGCAGTTGATGTTAGCGGCCCGACGGGCGGCTGAGAAAGTTTCTTGGTCAGACCAGGGGTCTGAGAGAAGCCCAACGGGGCCTCGAGAGTAGACCAGAGGGGGCCCAAGAGGACCCCAGGAGGGCCCCCAAAAGGCCACCCGGCTGGCACCCAAGAGGGGCTCGTGGGTGCCACTGTCGGGGTGCCATCTTCGGGTCCTTTTGGAGTGTTGTTGGGTCCCTCCCGGGCTGCTCTTGGGCTTCTTTTGGACACGGATGGGGTCTTTGAGAGGGCTGCAAGACGCCTCGAAGATGGCTCCAAGAGGGCCAACAAGCTGCTCTTGGGCTCCTCTTGGGCTCCTCAGAAGATTCCGAAAGGCTCCCGAGAGAAGTCCAAGAGCGCCTCCAGAGCGCCTTCTGACAGTGGCACCCAAAGGGCCCTCTTGGGTGCCACTGCTGGAGTGCTCTCTGGGAGCTTTCTTGGAGCCCTCCCGAGCCGTCTGGGAGTCCAGCACGATCGTGACGTTACCTGTGGGTGGGGGCGGCCGAGGCCGGTAACGGCCACTCCCCCGAAGCATGACAATTAGCCTGGCGAATGACCCAACCATATGCAGATGTGAGTGCCGCAACTGTGAATCTCGTATTCGGTGGTGTTCCCTATGGGGCCACGAAGCGGGTGAGGGGTGTGCCGAAATGGGGCGGCGGTGTCCTGCAACATTTCCCACTGTGGCCTTAGGTGGAGCTCCCTATGGGACCACGAAAAGTGTGAGGGCTGTGCCGAAGTGGGGCGGCGGTGCCATGCGAACTTTCTCATTGTGGCCTCAGGTGGATCTCCCTACGGGGCCGCGAATCGTGCGAGGGGTGTGCCGAACTGTGGCGGCGGTGCCATACGAACTTTCCCATTGTTGCCTCCGGTGGAGCTCCCGATGGGGCCACAAAACATCTGAGGGGTGTGCCGACATGGTAGACTGATGCGGGGAGCAGAGGCAAGGAAGGGGAGGAGGGAGGAGGGAGGAGGGGGAGGAGGGCAGGAGGAGGTGAGAGGACGCGCGGCGCTGTCTCTTCATGACGAGGACCCAACACCACAGGGTGGTTGGCAAAAAAGGCTCTGTTATGGGTCGCCGCACGGTTTTGGTACTTGGGTCGTTTTCCGAGGACGTCTCGGGCGGCCTGAGCCTGAGGGTCCCAAGACCGTGCGGTGACGGACCGCGCGGTGAGGTCGCTGGGGTTTCCGAGGTCACCACGCGGTCCGTCACCACACGGCGCTGGGCGCTGGGCCCCCCAACTCTCGGCCCCTTCTTCTCGGCAGTTCATTTATTGGCTCCTCCTCCTCCTCCTCCTCCTCTTCCTCCTCCTCCTCCTCCTCCTCCTCCTCCTCCTCCTCCTCCTCCTCCCCCTGGCAGTTCATCTATTGGGGCCCGAGGTTTGGGGCCTTTCGGATGGGAAGGGATCCCAGGTCGACTGCCGCTCTGGGTCGGGACTCTTTTGGCGCTCCTCGCTCCCCGTCCCCTTTCCTTTCCTCCCTTCTTTTGGAGTCGGCTGGGGGTCTGAGGTGGCCTAGCATTGTTTCTGGCCAGCAGGAAGGGGGGAGTCGAGGTTCGAGGTCCTGGGTTCGAGAAGGTTTTTGCCATCTCCGGCTTCTGGGAGCCGTTTTGGGGTCCCGAGACCGTCACAAACAGATCCCGAATGACAATTTGCACCAGATGGACCCGGGGAGGGGTCTGGGAACAGTTTTTTGTGCGGATTTGCCCTTACCCCTTCTTGACACATTCTCTGGGGGTCCATCAAGTTCAGACCTCCTGGCGGCCTCCAGCCCTTCCCTTCCTTTGCTCTTCTCCTCCTTCTCCTCTTCGCTTGGATCTGCAAGGGTTCAAAACGATTTAAGTAGGTCTTGCGGCGGTGCCTGACTGACCTACAGAGGGTCCGTCGGTGAGAGGAGGGGGCTGGGGCGAGGGTGGGGGCATCTGTTCACTGGCCTCTGCATGCAGCCTTACGGCGTGTAGTCTCTTGACAGGGGATCCTGGATCACCACTTGTTGTCATGCGACATTGGTGCTAGGCCCCCCCGTCACTAGACTTTTTTGTTTTGTGAGCCTGCGCGCGACCCGTAACCCAGCGGTGGATGTCCGCCAGGCCCCGACAATGCCGTCTGGCACTCGAATAATCTTTGATTTGGTTGAGCCAGTTCGATCTCCAGCAACCTTGAAACTGGCATGCCTCCAGCGTGAATGCGACGTGGTGTGATAGGGAATCGCACGAAAGCGCAACCATGCGCGAACATCACGTAGCACGTACCGGAGGATCAATTGCACACGTCATTTGCAAGTTTGTGTTGTTCGATAGTTTGCGTGACATCTATATAGATGCATATATGCACACGCATATATATATATATATATATATATATATGTGTATATATATATACACATATATATACACACGCATATACATATGTGCATCTGTACACACAGATATACACATATAGCGGGCAGGGGTCCTGGGGCCGCAAAGTGCACTGATTTGCCTTCCGGCCGTTTCGGGCACAGCGAGGGGCGCCAAAAAGCGTCAAAGGGGGCCGAGAGATGTCCAAGAATGCGCAAAGATGGCCCAAGAGCGCCCCAAG